ATGCTAGTTAGTTGCTTTTGCTTTCCTATGACATATATGTTAGTTAGTTGCTTCTGCTTTCACTTAGGCTGTTAGCTGTGACATTGCTGTTTTGTGACATTTTATATCCTAGGTCGCATCGCATGGACTCAGCATGGAGCTTGCTCCGCATCCTAGGCTACTCAGGTTTTCTTTTCTTTGGTAGAGTTCCGCTTCTTGGCGGAAGCATGTTTGTATCTAGGCGATCCATCACAAGCCGAGGATCGTGAATCGGACCTCGGGTCGGCCTGTGAGACCAGCCCCTTGGCCTGTTCTCACAGGCCTGTGGTGTATCCAGGTAGGGCAGTCCAGGGCGGTACCTCTGTCGGTACCAGCCAGTCCAGTCCAGTCCCGTCAGTCCGCTGGGGTATACCCCAGCCATTGTCTGTTTTCAGGCTCATTCTTCACTTGCACATTTTGGAGTACGTGCGTTGGAGTCCTGCGTGGGAGCTGCGCTGTGCGTCATCTTGCTCCCCCTTCTTCCTCCATCTCCATCTCTACCACTAGCGGAGCACCACACCTGGTGGGTCCGCTACATCGATCCTGCGTTGTACGCTCATCTGCCTTCCTACATGCAGCCTTTGCCGTATGATGAGGTTTGGGTGCAGCCACCTTCCACCCTTCCTCTCGCTTGGGGGTCGACACAAACCTCATATGAGACTGCCCCTCGATCAGATCACCGCGGCACGGGGATGGGGCCGATGTCCTCCCTCTTGGCGGATCCCAAGGGGGGGAGGTCTGATCCTATTCGACTGCACTTGTCCCCGAGTTGCACAATGGACGCGTCGAGAACAGTTCTCGTCGACCATAGCACTCGCTCGCAAGGTGGGGTGTCCGTGACAATGGAGGATGCCCGTGAAGACGGAGCGGTGACACAACGGCCGCTGATGTCATCATCCGCATGCAGGGTGAGCCACGCCGTTTCGCCGTCCCCCTTCGATCCGGGACGATCGCCATTGACGCACAACGGTCCTGCGGGAACGTTGACGAGAGCGAGTGTTGCGGAGTCCCCCCAGGTGATTGAGAGGATCATAGCAAGGTATTCGAGGATGCGTACCGACGTTCAAGCGGATGACGGAGGTGCAGAGGGGGCAGAGGCTGAGGAAGTGGTTGAGGGGGAGTGCACGGATGACGAGGACGAAAGCGAGGAGGATGACGACGTTCTGCTGAAGGAAGTCACACCGAAGACCACGAAGAAGAAGACAACAAAGAGTCGTGGGAAGTCGAAGGCGAGAGACGGTGGAGGTGATGGTGATGGCGCGGTGGGTGGAGGAAGGAACTCAAAGAACTGGGATTCGGACGACTCGCTCCTCCTCGTCTGCTGCAAAAGGGACCTTGACGATCACATGGCCAGCCAGGGTAGCAACTTCGCGCGGATGAAGACAAAGACGCAGAAATGGAATGAGATAGCAAGGCGTATGGCCCAGCAAGGGCTCACGGACAAAGATGGAGAGTCGTGCATGAAGAGGTGGGAGAACATCTTCGGGTGGTACAGGAAAATCTGGGATAGGGAGAAGGACTCTGGCGTGCAGTCTTTTTTTTTTTATGACATCGAAGAAACGCAAAGAATTGGGGTATAAATTCGCGATGGATCGACAGCTGTACGACGCCATCCACGCGACGACACCCAACAATCAGGCCATACATCCGCCTAATCTGTGTGACACTAGTGGACTCCCTCCCTTGCAAGCGGATGAGAGTGAGCAGAGCCAGGCTAGAGGTGCGACAATCGGCGGGGAAACGTCGGCGGGCGACAACATGGAAAGGGAATCGGCGGACGGCTATGGCAGCAGGTCTTCAGGGGGAACTGCTGCGGGGAAGCGGAAGAACGCGCGGCAGCTCGCCTTCGATTCTGTGACGGACGTGATGAAGACCCATTCGACGGTCGTCGCTGATTTTGTGGATCGTGCTAGCAAGCGCCAATGCGATGTGTTGCAGCGGCAATGCGACATCATGGAAAGGGAGGCGAGGACGCAGGAGAAACAGTGCGACATGCTGGATGTTGGTCAGTGCATGTTGTGCGATGCTCTACTGAAGATTGCATCTGCGTTAGCTCGGAGTTGATTGCATTCACCCCGGTGGACTGCGGAAAGCGTGACGACCCACTGTGGCCAATCAGCAGATGGCAATTTTTTTTATTTTTTATTTTTTTTTGCATCAACACTTCGCAGCGCTGGCCGTCAGTTCCCTGCGCGCGCCATACGCGTCGTTTTTTTAGGCCCACCACTTTTTTACTCTTTTGTCGACGTCTTGTAAGTCGGGATAGCAGTGCGCAGCGGATTTGATGTTGTTATCCGTCGATGGGCGGGGGCCATCGGACGGCGAACAGAACAGCCTACGGCGGACGTCGACGAGTACATCCGGACAGTTCTCAGTTATAAAAACGACGGGGACGCCCTTCAGCCACAGTGATGACGACATCGCCAACATCCTCACGCGATAGTGAGTTCGGCGGTGGTGATTGTGTGCCCTGTGGAGTGCGGGCGGCGCGCGGTGGGTGGGACGGCTTCGTGAAGTGCGGTGTTAGGGATTCGGTTGAGGAGCGCGCGTTAACTTCACTTGGGGGCTTGGAGGACAGGGGAGGAGGGGGGGGAGGAGGATTGTTTGGTGGTGGGTTTGCCGACTGTGAGATGGAGGTTGAGGTGGCGTTGAGGGGGCGGGTTCTCAGTCGCTGCATCATCTTCTACGAGACGCGACACCACCGTGGCAAGGACTACGGCAAGGACTTCGGATTCGAGGACGGGGTTACAAGACAAGGAGTCCGGCACTACGAGGTCGACGCGGATGGAGACACGTGTCTCCATATCATAGTCGGCTATCGATATGGCAGGGAGCTCCTCAAGCAGGTGGTCGTCTTCGCGCGAAAGGTGGGCACGGCAATCCCCGACCGTTGGGTGGGAGGTTCGGACGTCTTGGCGGACATCATCGACCTCCTAGTGTCTAACGTGGCAATGGGGTGCGCAGGCCGTCTCGATGAGTTGGCGACGTACATCGTCCACGCTGAGCCTCCTTTCGCCGATCGGTCTTACTTGCATGGCGAAGTGCAGATCGTCCTCGCTGACATCTGCTGATGTCATCGACAACACACACGGCGTGACCGACGGTAGACGTCTCCGTGCAGCGCAGCTCCGGCGGTTTTCCTTTTCTGACTCTCTCCTGTGGATCGAGGTATGCATGCTGATGACCAGATCATCAGGCTATGGAGAGAGAGAGAGAGAGAGAGAGAGAGAGAGAGAGAGAGAGAGAGAGAGAGAGAGAGAGAGAGAGAGAGAGAGAGAGAAAGAGAGAACACACGGCGTGACCGACGGTAGACGTCTCCGTGCAGGCGGTGTGTCCAACGGTTTTCCTTTTCTGACTCTCTCCAGTGGATCGACACATGCTGATGACCGGATCATCA